AAAAACGTGTGCAACAGGAGAATGAACAGTAAACTATAAAAGTGACAACGACGTCAAAAGATGTGTTGTATTTTCAATTGAGTTGCAAATTTTAACTGCGGAGAGAAGAAAGAGAAAAAGAAATAGGGAAATTGTAAAGCAACCAATTCAACTTATGGTAAGTGAAGGCCATCATTGTGCAATAATTTTGTTGAATTGAAGTGTGGATATTGCACTAAAGGGTTTTGTTGGGTGTTCCGTGGACACATAACAATTCAACTAACACTTAAAAGTTTGTAATTGAAGGTGTATTTTATATTTCTGTAACACAAATGTGATTTCAACCACTTCTAGATTATACAGTGCATAAGAAATTTGCTGACTCTTTAGGTGAAAATGGGCTTTGCTGGGATGATGTCTGAATTTCAGATCTCTTCCCGTCAAGCAATGAAGCTGAGTAGGTTAGTGGTTACATACCATAGAAGAAACTGCTATTTGGCACGTTAGAGATGCAATGCATACAGCTGGAGCTGTTTATGTTCTTTACCCTGGCCTTGTTTTCACTCAAACACCAATGAGCATGTTGTCCTTTATGACAAGGGTTCTTTCTAACAGAGTTGCTTATAATACAAGAAGGCCAACACATTTATAGCTAACTTAACAAGCACAACCTTTACCGTTCACCATCAGAATCTATTATATTTTTGGTAGTTTGTAAAATATCGGAGTATTAACTCTACGGATTGATTTAAGATACAATATCAGGATCACATGACGTAAGGTACCAGATATACATTACCAACTAAAGGCAGTAATAAAGCACAACATCCAAATATTCATACATCTATATCAAGTTCAATCAAACTGCACAAGTTCATGGCACTTAACGGAGCTAGAGTGTAAGTATGACATTGCATTGTCTATGAATTTCAGTTTTCGAAATATATTTACAGAGCCATATAACACAAGATCTAAAGTCTAAACTCTTTTCTTACGGTCTAAATGTATATCAACCTTGGTAGAATGGTTCAAGTTGGAAATCGTCCAGTGGAAGGGCAATGAATGTCTGAAGTGAAGAAAAGTACCGCCAATATACCAAAAAACCAAATGCAGAAACAGGGAAACAACATTCTATTTTTAGCAGAAATCACTTGTGCAGACCGATCGAAGTCCTCTAGCAAGGTATTTATACAGTGATCTTCTATGACATACTCGGTTATTTCATCCATAAGCTTCCTATATTGAGAAGCATTGTGCGAGTTGAAAATCTCAGGTTGAGCATTTCTGAGAGAATTTGCAACAATCTCCGCCTCCATGGAAGTGAACATAGCTCTATCCAACTCATAGGCACCCAAACAATTAGTGGCATTAATTTCTACTTCCTTGGCGATCTTTTTGGACGGCATTATATCATATGAAAGCAGGGTTTTTAACGAAGATTCTTCCAACAACAAGGTCTGATAATCATTTGAATCAGTTGAGGCCTCCACTACACTTGTTATTTCTAATTTATTTTCTCGGAATCCAAACAGTACATATATTATACTAAATAGAGCTTGATTGCTAAGCAATTTGTACCAGAATCGTAGCATGAGGCGTATATTAACTATAAATAAGCAAATTAATAATCGAAGCACTGCTACTTAGCGGATCTAATAATTTTTTCGAATAAATAATTAAAGATAAATAGTACGTCGAAATTCTTGTAAGTTGTAACTTCAATTTGAAAAACGATCAATGTGATTATCTGAATAGTATAAAGAACTTGTAGACAGATGCACCGTGTCAAATTTGACTCAAAATTGAAACATGCAATTCAGATTCAAACTTACTGCAACGTCTTGATTGCGATCAGCATGTGATGATGCCTCACAGATTGGAGAGAAATCAACAGAATCTTCGGAAATGGATGTAAATGCTGAACTCAAGCGCTTGTTTCTGATCTGGCAGAAGATGAAAACAAAAAGGAACGTGAGAAATCAAACACAAAGAAAAGGAAGACGGACAAAAGTAAGGGTTTAGAATTATGCTGTACCTTTTTAAACTTCGGAACATACTTCAATCTGCAATTACGCTTCTCTGCAGGGGAAGAATAGAACTTTTGAGGCGTTTGGTATTCTTTCATTGGCGGGAATTGAGTAGTATTTTGCGTTCAATTTAAGATCTGGAAATGAGAGTTACGAGTTCGGACTAACCAGACCCGTGTATATATATACGACGGATTCTAATATAATTGAACCAAAGCGGTATTCACACGAAGAGAAGTTAGGATTTTATCTTTTCACAAAATCATAATTTTTGTTGGTCGTATATATATATATATATATATATATATATATATAGGCAGATCCTTTGACACCGGTGTCAAATTTGAAGTTTGACACCTCATCTGAGAGCCGTTAGATCAAAAAAGATCAACGACTCTAATTTGTAAGCATGTGACACCATTGATCTTTTTTGATCTAACGGCTCTCAGATGAGGTGTCAAACTTCAAATTTGACACCGGTATCAAAGGACCTGCCTCATATATATATATATATATATATATATATATATATATATATATATAGATAGATAGATAGGATCCTTTGACACCTCATCTGAGAGCTCTTAGATCAAAAAAGATCAATGGTATCAGATGCTTACAAAAAGTCGTTGATCTTTTTTGATCTAATGGCTCTCAGATGAGGTGTCAAATTTGAAATTTGTATATATATATATATATATATATATATATATATGAGTTTACATTTCTGCAGCTGCTGTAGGTGCATCAATCAAATACTTGCCATATATATACTTGAAAGCATTAAACGCAGGAATCATAATCATACAAAAGATGAAAGAATTAAATATGGAGAATCATAACCATACACATGTCGTTGTTGTACGTAAAGTGGCTGCAGAAAAGATTTTACCATATATATATATAGTATCCTTTGACGTCAGTGTCAAATTTGAAATTTGACATTTCATCTTAAAGTCGTTAGATAAAAAAAGATCTACGATTCTGATTTGTAAGAATGTGACATCATCGATCTTTTTTTATCTAACGACTACCATATGAGGTGTCAAATGATCCTACCTTATATATATATATATATATATATATATATATATAGGTAAGATCCTTTGACACCAGTGTCAAATTTGAGTTTTGACACCTCATCTAGGAGCCATTAGATTAAAAAAGATCAATGGTGTCACATGCTTACAAATAAGAGTCGTTGTTATTTTTTTATATAATGGCTCTCAGATGAGGTGTCAAAATTCAAATTTGACACCGGTATCAAAGGATCCTACGGGGAGGGTTCTTTTGACTTCAGAGTAAGACTAAAGTCTTAATCTCTATCTCGGCCGTTGATTGATGAAATCAACGGTATTCATTTATAGTGTAATTAATAATTAACTAATTAATATGATTTCCTAAAGTATAATGGTTGGATAGACGAAAATTAACAGCTAGGATGAGGAGTAAGACTTAAGTCTTACTCTATAGTCAAATGATCTCTCTCTCCATATATATTTCTTCCGTTGTAAAATATAAAATTGATCTATTACGCATACATAAAAATGTGTAAGATTCATATTTTTTCTCTCCTTATATGAGTTCATACACTTTTATGTGTATAAGAAATAAATTTACCTACCAAATAGTAGTAGCTCAGTTGGCGCATGAGAGTTAAACAGGTGGGGGTGATAGCATGTGTTCGAATCTCCCTAGTACCACATTTGGAAGGGGTTTAAAGCCTTAATCCTGAACCCGCCTCGAATCGAATTAGTTGCGAAGTAATGAACCGATTGAAATATTTTCAAAAATAAATAAATTTACCTCCTAAATACATTAAACTCGTATCAATCTATTTAGTGGTAGAGTTAAAAAAAAAAACCCAATTATTGTCAAAAGACTCAACCAGTGTCAATGTTATATTATTTTAAAAACCTAGCCAATGTAAAGCAGGTACCGTAATTTAAAAAGAAAATCTATATCATTTTTAAAAATCAACTGATACCAAGTGGCTCCGCCACTTAATCTATCATGAAATACCCATCTTATTCTGCTCTCACTTCATCACTTATGATAAAGACCCGAAGAACATGTGATTTTTTTTTTTTGGATAGAAACTGTAATTTTTCAACTCGTTGGCAACAACATCTAATTATAGTGTAAATGAGGATCTAGTCGTGCCAAAACATGATCAATATTTAATGCTTAGCTTTATCTTTTGGAAACAATGTGATGTTTATGTTTAGATATTTTATTTAAATAAGTGAAATACAAATTTTGATTTCGACTTATTTAAAAAAATGATGTTTAATTGTAACTTGTTTAGATATTTTATAACTTTGTTATTTTTTTCCCTGTCGAATATCTTATTAAAGTATTTTAAAGTTTATTAATTTAATATTTAATACATATTTTTTTTCTAAAAGATGAAATAAATATAAAAATAAAAAAGTGAAAGAATAATTGAACATGTAAAAGAATTACAATTTTCTGAATAATAAAATATATAAATCATTAGCATCAATAGCTCTCTTCTTATCTAAAATATCATTTTTTGGCATATATATACAAATTCAAATGAAATATTCACAAATTTTTAATGTCAAGCCTATAAAATTTGTACTTTGAATTATCTATATATTGTTTCTTAAATATAAAATTGAACTTATTTATTCAGATAAAAAAAAATTAATGAGTTGAACTTAAATAATGATATAAAATTTTAATTTTAAAAAAAATTAAATGTCGCAAATACAACTTGGAGAACCCAGATGTAATCCATAATAATGGGCTTCATTCATTTATCAACAAGAATCTCACCCTAACGGGCCCAGCCTGAAGAATGAGAGAGAACTGGGTTGGGCAAGCACGTGTCAGCCCAATAAGTGAGAGGATTGGCGCCAAAGTTTTCCCGCCAAATGAAGGGACCGTATAAAGGACGGTTTGATATACCTTCTGTCTCAGAGGAAAGAGAAAGAAGCAGAGAGTGAGAGAGATTAGAGTCAGAGAAGCATGGAATCAGGAAATCCCTCATCAACGCCAGATCCAGATCCTTCATCGCCGACATCTCCTTCTGCTAATTTCAACACAGACCAGCTTCCTCACACTCACACAAGCCGTGCCTCTGAAGACGACGAGGCTTCCGTTGATCCCGAGGTCATACGAGATGAACCTGAAGAAGAACAACCTAACGAAGAAGAAGAAGATGGAGAAGATCTTTATAATGATAACTTCATGGAGTCAGTCCTCTATTTTTTATTTTTCTCAGAAAAACCCTAATTCCTTTTCTTTTTTTGTTGGCTAATAACTTGTTGTTACCCGAATGAATGAACAGTGATTATCGGAGAATGGACGAGGCTGACCAGTTCGAATCAGTTGGGCTGGATGACACTTTGGAGGACGATAGGGATTTCGATCAGATCATGGAGGATCGAAGGGCTGCAGAGAATGAACTCGACGCACGTGAAGGTCGCATTTCTAATCGCAACAAGCTTCCTCAGCTTCTCCACGACCAGGGTAATCTTTTCTCTTTCCTTTCTTTCCATTTATTTTGTCCCTAATTCCTTTATTCTCGAGTAGTAGCTCGCACACAATGAATTCCTATTCGTCTTCAAATTTTCTAGGCAATTGAATTTGGTCCTGCCAAATCCACTGATCTTATTAATTAAATCTGGACCACTGTAAATTTTTTGCAAATCCATGAAAATTGTTTGTGTACTATACATCAAAGAATTCATTGCTCTTTAAAATACAATGTTATTCTGTTGGTGCTTTAAAATAAAACTATTGAATTGATATTGACACCGGGGAAATTGATTGCATTGCCTGTGATGGAATTATTCGATTTTTTTTAGTAGTGGATGGAATATAAGTCTACGTGAAGCATTGATTGATTGCCAGTAAGTATATGATGCATATGATCTACTTACTGCTGCACAAACTTTAAAGGAGCTTGAGAGAGAAAAATTCACTTGAATGTTTGTTACTATTGTTAGCAAAGTTTTTGACATGGAAAACAATTGGTGTTGATCTATGAACTTTCTGTTGCAGATACAGATGATGACAGCTACAGGCCTTCCAAAAGGGCTCGAGCCAGGCCTCCTATACCAAGCGATGATGATGTTGATGGGATGCCAAGTTCCCCTGGAAGGTCACAAGGAGGACACTCAAGAGAGGATGTTCCAATGACTGATCCAACTGAGGATGATCCAGATGATGTACTGTGTGCTTTGAATTTTTTTTCTTTTCTTTTAAAAAAGAAAATAAATTCTTAGCAGCTATTCATTTGATTTTATTTCACAATTAACATGTGTACATGGAATGTAGGATGGATATGATGACGAAGGTGAGTATGAGATGTACCGAGTTCAAGGGACACTTAGAGAGTGGGTTACAAGAGATGAAGTGCGCCGCTTCATAGCCAGGAAATTCAAGGATTTCTTACTGACATATGTTAATCCAAAAAATGAACCCGGCGACTTTGAATATGTGCGGCTGATAAACGAGATGGTGTCAGGTAATATATTTTTTAAACATGGCCTTCAATTCTTGAGAGTTGTGACAATGAACAGCATCAACTTAGTTATTGTGTCTGTTAATTGCAGCTAATAAGTGCAGTTTGGAGATAGATTACAAACAATTTATCTATGTCCATCCCAACATCGCCATTTGGCTGGCTGATGCACCTCAGTCCGTTTTAGAAGTAATGGAAGATGTTGCCAAAAACGTTGTCTTTCAGTTACATCCAAATTATAGAAATATACATCAGAAGATTTATGTTCGCACCACCAACTTACCAGTTTATGATCAGATTCGAAATATAAGGTGACATTAAAAACCAAACTGATGGATTAGTTCATTCTCCTCCCATTTCTTCCATTGGATAAAAAACTAAAAGTTGTTTTCTTTGGAGCAGGCAGATCCACTTGAATACAATGATCCGAATTGGGGGAGTAGTAACTAGGCGCTCCGGAGTTTTCCCCCAGTTACAACAAGTGAAGTATGACTGTAGCAAATGCGGGGCAATTTTGGGACCTTTTTTTCAGAGTTCATATTCAGAGGTGAGAGTTGGATCCTGTCCCGAGTGTCAATCAAAAGGGCCGTTCACTGTCAATATTGAGCAGGTACAGCTTTTCAAATCCTTGTGTTTTACTCCTCTATTTGGCTAAAGAAGTTAATAGTTAGGTTATTGAAATTAAAAACCTTTGGAATTTGGATACACAGATAGGGCTGATTATTGGCCTTCACTTTGCCGAGGCCAAATGACTCCGTAAGGCTAGTTCTATTGAGATGTTGTATTGTTGTTTTGATTCACAAATGATAATACTTTTTGGATCTTCTGTAACAAAATAATTTGACAACCAACATTGCTGAAAAGACAAATAAACTCATTTTCTCCTTCTCTGCTTGCTCTAGACAATTTACAGGAATTTTCAAAAGCTTTCTCTCCAAGAGAGCCCAGGAATAGTTCCTGCAGGTCGACTTCCAAGATACAAAGAAGTGATACTATTGAATGATTTGATTGACTGTGCTCGCCCCGGTGAAGAGATTGTACATCCTCTGCTTGGACTTGTTATTTTTTGGCCTTGGGTGATACAAATGACTTTCATATAAATATTCTGTTAAAATGTTTCAGGAGGTCACAGGTATTTATACTAATAACTTCGACTTATCCCTAAACACAAAGAATGGATTTCCAGTGTTTGCCACTGTTGTTGAGGCAAATTATGTTACGAAGAAGCAAGACCTCTTCTCTTCCTACAAACTTACCCAGGAAGACAAAGAAGAGATTCAAAACCTGGGCAAAGACCCCCGAATTGGAGAAAGGGTTTGTGTCCTAGAAATTTTTTTGGTATATTTATTTTTCCATTTAGTTATTTGTTGTGTAATGTTCGATAAATTGAATTTCAGATTATCAAGTCTATTGCTCCATCAATCTATGGTCATGAGGACATAAAAACTGCAATAGCTTTAGCTATGTTTGGAGGTCAAGAAAAAAATGTTAAAGGAAAGCATCGACTGCGTGGAGACATAAATGTTCTTCTTCTCGGTGATCCAGGAACAGCAAAATCTCAATTTCTTAAGTATAAACTTTACCAAAGTCTCAATTTTCCATTTTTGATAATGATCAAATAAATAATAAATTTTACCAAAATCTGCTGCAAGGTACGTTGAAAAAACGGGGCAGAGAGCTGTATACACTACCGGCAAAGGGGCTTCTGCTGTGGGTCTCACAGCTGCAGTTCACAAGGATCCAATAACAAGGGAGTGGACTCTTGAGGGGGGAGCCCTTGTTCTAGCTGATAAAGGAATTTGTCTTATTGATGAGTTTGACAAGATGAATGACCAGGATAGGTAAGAAAATAGATCTTGTAATCATTCTTGATTTCTTAGTTACAATTTGCGAGCCCGCACCCTCACCGGATGAAGAGAATAAGTTATCAGTTGTGTCTGACCATTAAGATATCTATATTTATATATATGGTATCAGGGTAAGTATCCATGAAGCCATGGAGCAGCAGAGCATAAGCATATCAAAAGCGGGAATCGTCACATCTCTTCAGGCACGCTGCTCCGTCATTGCTGCCGCAAATCCAATTGGAGGAAGGTATGCAAATATGAATGGTTGCATGTTTCTGTGGGCAAGTTATCACTGTTCATCAGTGTCACAGCTGAGACTTGAACTTCTCTGTCATACATATTGAATGATATTGGAACTACTACTGAGTACTTAAATTTAATTCTTTGTTGGATTTGTAGATACGATTCCTCGAAAACATTCTCTCAAAATGTTGAATTGACGGATCCTATTGTTTCTCGTTTTGACATCCTCTGCGTTGTGAAGGTTATGTTTAAATTCATAGCTTCTTCGATATAGTCTTCACTTATTCATATTTATTGAGAGGTTTCTTTGATTTTACAGGATGTGGTTGATCCGGTCACTGATGAAATGCTTGCAAAGTTTGTAGTTGACAGCCACTTCAAGTCACAACCCAAGGGCGCTAACAAAGATGATAAGTCCTTGAGCGAGTCCCAAGATGTTTATGCAACTGGCATGCCAGCTGATCCCGAGGTCCTTACTCAGATCCTGCTATTGCTAGTAATCTTTATTTAGGTGTACGTAGATTGTGGCTTCTATATCTCGTGATTTTTGGCTTATTTGCAGATACTTCCTCAAGATCTGCTGAAGAAGTACATTACATATGCCAAGTTGAATGTTTTTCCAAGGTTACATGAAGCCGATATGGATAAACTGACCCATGTATATGCTGAACTGCGGAGGGAATCTTCAGTAATGTCCTGTCTCTTCTCTCGCCTAAAAATTTTGTGATTATTGTTTGTATTTCGGCTTCACTAACATGCCGCTCTTATTCTCTTGTATAGCACGGACAAGGAGTCCCCATTGCCGTAAGACACATTGAATCAATGATAAGAATGTCTGAAGCCCATGCGAGAATGCATCTCAGACAGCATGTTACACAAGAGGATGTGGACATGGCAATTCGTGTTCTACTTGATTCATTCATTTCAACCCAAAAATTTGGGGTGCAGAAAGCTCTGCAAAAGGTATAGAAAGATATTCTAGGCCTAACACGGAGTTCTATTAAATCCAGATATTCCCTGGCATCTTATTTTACCTTTTTTTTGCATTCTTTTTTTTTTAAAAAAAAAGTGCCTACCGATTTGCAATAGTAAATATGTTTAGAATTTGTGAAATTTGTATAGACAAATGCCTTCGCCTAAACAATGAGCTCACTGTTGCAGAGCTTTAGAAAGTATATGACTTTCAAGAAGGACTATAATGAATTGGTACTATATCTTCTACGGGAGCTTGTAAAGAATGCTTTGCATTTCGAAGAAATTGTCGCTGGATCTGCTTCAGGGTTAACGCATGTTGATGTCAAATTAGAGGATCTCTACAATAAGGTAATGATATTTGTCCTTCTGTTTGTTTTCGAACTAAGATTGTAGTGGCTCAACTCTGTTTGTTTAACATTAAGCAGGCTCGAGAGCATGAAATTTATGATCTGAAACCCTTCTTCAGCAGCAGTCACTTTTCAAGGGCCAAATTTGTGTTGGATGAAAAGCGAGAAGTGATCAGACATCAACTTGCTAGATGAAAGTAGAATGCATCTAAGGATTTTGATCGGGTATTATTTTGGAAGGGCCTTTGAATGATCTCAGTTTTTTTTACCATGAATGTAGATGCATTAATTTAATCATAAATAATTTTGTATAATTTGACCGAAATGTCACGTAGTGCTTTTCAGTGGTTTGGGGCCGGTATGGTGCCTGTTGTTGGATTGAGGATTATCTCCATAGACCCCTCCCTTCAGTTCCGTTTAGATTGCTATCATTTCTCGCCAATGCCACATATTATAGCAGTTTAGAACTTGCAATATTTTCTAAGCCGGTATCATTGTCAGTTGTGTGTTACTAAAATCTAACATCTCTTTTGCCTGATGCAACAATATGTGCTTTCAGCCATTCATGTACAATGAAGCAACCTAGCTCCTGCATCTTGGTTAAAAACAAAATAGTTGGGATCTCTTTTTAGGTTGTGATGCACCAAATAGATAGCTCACTAGATTGAGATGCATACAACAGTTTGTAAAGCAAAGTATAATAGTTGACAGATCATCCAAATCTCAACTATCACTTAATTCTCGTAACTGACAATACACTGATGCTGTTTACCGTGATTGCTTTTCTGCCAATTTGGACTCAAGTTAATGGTAGGGGTTTTGTTAGGTTTTATTATGTTTATTTTTTAAATAAATAAATATTAAATAATCAAAAGTGTGTAACTAATGACATATGTTATTCTCTTTTAATTATGGGTCAAGTTTCTATTCTTTTAAAGAATACAAGTTCTATTTTTTTAGTTTTTAACATTGTGTGTAAGATATAGTTATAATATGAATTTTTTTTTTCACATCACAAGTGACTTAGAATCGGGCGGGCGGGCGGGGGGTTATATTATAATTATATCTTACCAGTAAGATATATTAAACATTAAAAGAATACAAGATTATTTCTATTAAAAGGACAATTTTTTCCCCTATAATTATATGGTCTGTAATTTTTATCAGTTTACAAAAGTGAAAACGTCAAAAACATCACATGGTTTAATCTTTTATCAATGAGTAGCCAAACTTTTTCTTTTCTTTATTTATCTGCTAGAAATAACAATGAGCAGCCGAAAGAGACGAGCATAACTAACTCTACTGCAATCTTTCTTCAGATCCGTTGTCGTTTGTTAAATCACGATTCTGAGTTTTTAGAATCTAAGCTACTTATAATTCGACCTTATTTAAAGTTAATTAAATTGAGTTTAAATTACACTGCACTTTTGAATTAGGTTTAATTAACGTTTTAAGTTAACTTAGCTTTATGATGGTAGTACTGAAAATGTAAAATACATAGTCTGTAAAACTATATAGGACCAGGATCTTCTTACACCGGTGTAAGAGTTATTACTCTTACACTCAATCTTAACCATTGATTTTTGCATATCTAACGGTTATAATTAATAATTATTTAATGAGAATAATATAATTAATTACAGTCGTTTGATGGACGGAAATCAACGGTTAAGATTGAGTGTAAGAGTTATTAATCTTACACTGGTATAAGTTGATCCTGTCTCATATATATATATATATATATATATATATATATATATATATATATATATATATATATATATAAAATGTTCGCTTTTTCTGCTGTAGATAAGTTATTTGCAGTAAGTTCAATACGACGTCGTTTTGTGGCAGAAATCATGTTGTTTTTGAAATTTAATTTATTTCAGCGTTATAGTAGTCTTTTTATTTATAATTTTTTAAGATTTCAATGCCAAAACGATTTCGTTTTGAGAATAAAAGCAGATAACTTATCTGCATTAACTCAGAAACATTTTTCTCTAAAAAAAACGTAGTTTGTAATTTTATTTTGAATTATTGTCATATCCAGTTTTCAGTATGACAGTAGTACTGAATTGGTCTAGTAATGATTCAATTAGACCCAAGAATTTCACCTATTTAAAAAATAATAGATTTAATTTTTGAGTCATGATTTCTAAAAAGGGTGTCAAATAAAATATCTTCACATAGTAATAAGAAAATCACACTTAAAAGTGGCAAAGTGAGCAGTTCGCCCTGTCTTGCTTTTGAAAATGGGCTAAAAACCTCGGCCCGACTAGTTTGGCGGGCGGGGCTAGTTGGTTCGCTGGCCCGAATATGTTTTACACTGACCATTTTTCGCCATCAATCAGTCAAAAATTAGCTCACATGCCTGCCCCGCTTTTGAAAGTGAATTGTAAAACTCAGTCCGTTCCGCTCCGTTCTACCTGCAGGTGGGTCGTTCCGCCGAGCCGAGCTCATCTTGCGGACTTTAGGCACACGTCACAGTTTTGATAAATTCTTGAATTTCTATATTTTAATTTAGTTTTTCTTTCCACGAAATGCTATATAAACAACTTTAAAGAATAGCTGATATGTATATATTCAATTAATTATAGATTTATGTAAAAAGCATTAATAAAATGAACAATTATATATATTTGTAATAAAGATTTCTAATTACTTAAAGAATAAAGTATTAAATACCTTTTAATGCTTATTTATTAACGACTATTTCTAGTTACCTTTTTATTTTATACATATTATTTTTTGTAATTACGATTTAGAAAGATGTACATAGATTTATAAGGAATATATAAATAACATTATTGTAATGAGATTAAATCCAAAATGTTGAAGCTTATTTCTGATACAAATTAGAGAAAAATATTTATTATTTTAAAATATATAATTTTCTGTACGTATTCTAAAATGAAACAAAATTATATATTTTAAAAAGAGAAACGTTTTTTGGCTACAAATTATTATTACTATTTACTAATTATCACTTGTGAGCTGTAGAAAGTTTTTAATTGGTGGGAAACAAAAAAGGACAATATATGCCAACTCCCCTTCTCTTGTTATTAGGCTTATAGCCAATAGTGGTTTGTATTGCAACCTTAATGATTATTGTCTCTATTCCAATCAAAAGAGCATCATTCATCGAAAGGTGTACTACAATTCACCTTTCACAACACACACACACACACATGCGGTGATAAGCAAAGCAAAGCAAATATTAGAACGTGATACCCAAAGGCTTGGTCTCTGCCAGCTAAAAACCTTCTTGTATTATAAACCACAGATACCGAATATGCCTCTCCGGCCTTCGCTAAAAAACAAAAAAAGATTGTTCCTCACTCCTTGATTACACAAATTATAAACCACCGAGACTTACATAATAATCCAACACCATTTTGGAATGGCTCACATTACATGATTTTGGGTTCATTATAATCAATTATTCAAACTTTTGCAAAATCTGAAACCCAATAAAAAAAAATATATATATATATATATATATATATATATATATATATATTTATGGAATAATAACCGGCAGTAATTTAATTAATTAGAGGCGGAATCATCAAGAGCTAATATGCGAAGCAATCCATCGAAGTTAACGCCGCCGTTTTGATCCCCGCCGCCGAATTTGATCATGGCGGTGATGTCTTCGTCGGTGGCGGCGAAACCAGCCCATGCCATGTAACTCTTCAAGTCCTGGTGGCTGAGCCTGCCGTCGCCGTCCTTGTCCATCACCCTGAACACATCCTCCATGGCCCCACACCCTAACGGTCTCCTCTCCGCGTTCCCGTTAACCACGCGCTCGAACTCCTCGTACTCCACGAAACCGTCCTTGTTGATGTCCGCCACCGTCATCATTGCCCCGATGACGTCATCTCCGCCAGTGACGCCGCCGTATACCCCGGCGTAGAAGGCGCGGAGGTCGTCGCGGCTTATTTTGCCGTCTCGGTCAGCGTCTAGAATGTCGAATGCCGGTCGGAAATCCGACGTGGCGGCGGAAGAAGAGGAAGAGGAGGAGGAGGAATGGGTGCGGAGGCTCCGGCCAGAAGGACACATAGTGCTTTTTTTTTTTTTGTGTGTTATGAAGGTTTAAGGAAAATGAGAAGTGAAATGAGATGGTTCATGGTTGTGTTTTTGGTTTTTATAAAAATAGAGTGGACGAATTCTCTCGTGTCCGAGAGTTTGGGGCCCCACACTTTTTGGAAAGGTTTGAAACTTTGAATCAGATTCAGCGTCACGAGGGCTTGGGCAGCAAGCTTCTCTGATTTTGGGACTTATAATACGCACGCGGTGACATCATTCGGATTTGATTCCATTTATGTGATGTGAAATGTTTCGATATTCGAATGTTCACCTCACCTCCCTACAATTCATGATTTATTTCATGTTTTGAAGAAAAAAAATCTATATTAGTACATTTTCGAGTGTAATAACAACTTACTTCAGGATTTTAAACTATATTAATCAACTTCTGAAGAGTAATTCATATATTGCAAAGATTAAACTTGTGATAAAAAAATACTTTATATAAGAGCATTCAATGTATTTTTTAATAAATTTAAAGAATTAAAATTATAAACTTTTTGAAAGTAATTTCAGTTCTCTAGTAAAAAAATATATATTTTTTTATCATTTTACGATAAAAAAATCTTTAAAAAATGTTTATTTGTAGTTTTTAAATTTTTTGAAACGTTGCATCATTTTTTAATTTTTTTGGTACTTAAAAACGCCGTACAATATCAATGGCTTGTAAGTTGACTTGACGGTTTGGACCGTTCCACGCGGCTGTATTTTCTAACACGTTATAATAGGTTTGAACTTTTCTCTTTTTTGTTTGTATATCAACATATCATCCCACTCGGTTCTTTTCTTCTAAATAAATAGATGTTCACCGAAATGTTAGCATTCTGTTCATTTTATTTTTTCTTTTTATCAATTTTTAATATTTCATTGATAACACCCCCCAACCAATATTTGTGCTCAAAGAAATCTCAGCATTCGATTAAATTTTATTTTAATTTTTCGGCAAAATAAGTTAATCAATTTTTGTTATTGGGCAAAAATAGAAAAGCTTGATGTCTTGAGAAAATAAAACATAAAACTGAAGAAAGAGGTTATATTTACAAATTTTTTATTTTTATAATCTATTACAACTAAATTTTAATTGTTAATTTTTGTTAATCTAACGATTATAATTTATTAAGTCATATTTATTAATTAATTATTAATTTTTAATAAATATAACTATCAGATTAACAGAAATTAATAGTTAAGATTTTGTTATAAAAAATTACAAGCGAGAGAGATTGTAAATATTTATCCGTATAAAATGATATAAAAAAGTAATGACCGATAGAAATTAAATAAACAAGAAAATATTTTTAAATATATTTCATTAAAACTTACTTGGACATTTTGAACATAATGATTAGAAACATTACATTAAGTATAGATTACTAAGAGGTGAAATTTTTAACTAAATAATAATTTTTAATTCATATTTATATGTCTGAAGTTACTTGATAAGATATAAATGTTATTTTAATTTGAGAATTTTGAAATGAGCTGCAAAAGATTTTTTTTTCCATAGTTTTATATATTGTAATAAGGAAAAATCATCTATCCTTTTAAAGGATATAATCTTGTAATAAAGTGTATATGTCCCATTGAACGTTATTTTTGATTAATTTTCATGTTATTCCAGACTAAAATCTATAACGAATAACTTTAAGGACACGCTCTCCACGTTATTTTGGACTTTAGGTACATTCTTTGGGAATTTTATGTCACAAGAGTATTGAGTTTCGGATTTGAGTAATCATAAAAGAAAACTCACTTCCTTAATGCGTGAACCCCCTTAGGTTTAACGCAAGTGAAAAAAATAAAATTGAACACTTAAATTTTTATAATAATTCAATCAAGATATCAAACTTTTAATGTTACCAATTAAGCATTTAGCTTAAAAATAATCAAACCTTTAATAATTTTTTTAAGCTAAAAATTATCTTGAAATTAATGTTAAAAATAAGACTTTAAAAAAAATTAAAAGTTATTTCATGATTATATGAAATTTTTAGCTTCAAATATTTTTTTAAAACTCAAATTAAAAACAAATTGTTTCATAAAGTTATTTATAATTTTTTCTGGGAATTTTCAACTTTTTGTTATTCATGATAATTTTTCTATAATAAAATTTTATCCAAAAATATATTTGATTAAATTTATTCTCTTAAGAAGAAAAGAAATTAAAAAAAGATACTCATCAAATACCCATTTTTTTCTTTCTAAAATCACCTGATTATTAGATAAAAAAAAAAAAAACTTGAGTTTGAGGTTTTTTCAGAAACCAACTACCGTTTAGGTGGTCAATGTCACCTCATGCGACATTTTTTTTTTTTATATTTTTTCATATTTCATATAAAAAAAGTACAGGCCAATCAAATTGCGCAAATTTTTTTTATCTAAAGAAACAATGAATTTTTTCATTATCCTTTTTATAAAATATTCATATTCCCCTCTAACTTATTTCATATACTAAATAATTAAAATTATAAATCAATATATAATTATTAATTATTTGGTAATGAAAATTTTGTATAAACCCATTAATTGATTATCGTTGATGTTTAAATGTGTATTCTTATAATCAAATAATGGGTAAAACTTGTGTGTAAATCAATAAAGGAAATGGATGATATGGTCATGTAGAAAGATCACAACCATACAAAGAGAAATCAACGGTTATGATTTCGTAACTACTTATTTTAACATTTTTTTCTTTTCTCCTTTATTATCATTGATCCACCTTTGTATGGTTATGATTACTCACATGACATGATCATGCGAATTTTCACACGAGAGGCTCAGATCCATAATAAACAATTAATAGATTTAATTTTGTTTTCTAAATTATCAATTAATTAATTATAAGAAACCCTTTTTGTTGTTGCAATTTTTTTAAGAAATAGTAAAAAGGAACAATTAAATGTTGGGTCTAAAAATTTGTAAGAATCCATAAATATTAAATATCTGTTTGGAGTTAAATTATAAAAGAATTATACGAATATTATTAAAATTATTAAATACCTTTTGTTTAAAAATCAATTAAATAAGTTAATGGATTTATGTAAAATTTTCATTAACGATTAATTATAAGTGTTAGTGATTTAGTATTGATTGATAATTATTAATATTATAATTAATAATTTTAATTATTTAATATTTGAAATGAGTTAATAATGAATATTTTATAGAAAGGTTAATGGAATATGTCACCTGAGTGCCACTTAGGGATGTGTAAAATAATCAAAAAATTGAACTGAATGATGAACCAAATCAAACTGCATTTAAAATAATCGATTTTTAAAAATCAGTTCATGAACCGAATTATTTTTTATCCGAACCAAATTGATTTTTTTTATTTTAATTTTTTAAATTTTTTTCTTTTCAGAATAGAACCGGTCAGAACTGTTTCTGAACCGAACTAATTCCGAATTGAACCAAATCGGTTTTGAATTGACCCGAACAATTTTCGAACAAAACTGTTTAAACTAATTTAGTTCGATTTTTCAAAAAAAATCGATTCAGCTGGACCATGGACACCCATAGTGCTACACTGCTACTTCCTGATTGACCATTTATATATAAAAAGATATTGAAAAAATTAATGTCGCATGGGGTGGGGTGATGTTATTGACCACCCCTCAACAATAAATATTTTTTGGCACTCACCAAACTGGAATTTTTTTGGTCTAACGAGCGTTTGGTACATGAGAATTTTTTTTTTGTCTGGGAATCTCAATTTTCAAAAATATAATTTTTACATTCAATTTACGATGATATCCAAAAATTTAAAATTTAGAAAAATTCAATTTTCCGAGAATCCTTAAAAATCTCTCGTACCAAACGACCCTAGATGATGGATCAAACAACTGTATTACTAGAACTTTGTAACACTACTAAATGGTGGTAATTTAATTAGCGTATGAGAGCTAAGTATGTGGGGGTGAGAGTATATGTTCGATACTTCCTAGTATCATATTTGAAAGGGATTTAAAGCCTTAATCTTATATCTGTCCCGACTCAGACTAGTTGCAAAGCAATAAACCGATATAAATATTTTTTTAAGAAAAAAAAACACTTTGTAACACTTTTTTTTTTTTTTTTGAAAGATAATGGAAATGAAAAAACACAGCAAAAAAGCCTAAGTACAGAACCTAGCCCAGCGAACACCTACAGTGTCGCTGTATAAACTTTGAAGACAGCCAGGAGGAGGGTCATCAAAGACTTGCACATCCCATGGAAAGCTATACGCATGTGAAGCTAAGAAATCAGCTACTTTGTTTCCTTCACGATGGACATGAGAAATCTGCACCTGCCAGCATCTTTGCAACATTCCTCTAATACGTTGCACCAAGTTCGACGAAGGGTGATCCTGATGACACCCATTAGATATAATCTGTTGGGCTGAGAGGGAATCTCCTTCCAGCCACACTTTTCTAAATCCTTTTTCCCAAGCTAAACGCAAACCTTCCAAACAAGTCCATAATTCTGCATGCAAAACAGTACCTAGCCCCAAATTCTTGCAAAAATCGATAATCCAAGCTCCGGACGGGTCACGAATAACACCACCACATCCTGATCTGTTCCCATTACCAGCTCTAGCTCCATCAACATTAAGTTTAACCCATCCTAACGGAGGACAAGACCAAGCTATCATCTTCTCTACACTGTTTCTCGGTTGAAGACCTGCTGCATGGAGAGTAATAGCTGTATGCTTGACACAATTGCTATACCCCAAGGCTGAGTGGGCAATTGTGTAAGCATTATTGATTTTTCCTTCAAAAACTCATCACTTTGCTATGCATAATTTCATGCTAAATATGACTGTCAATGTGGATGTATGTCATGGATTAATGACATTTATTACTCTCACCTAGACTGTGCTTCCTCAAAACGGGAAAGAAAAGAAAGTCCCCCGTTACAAAGTTTTCACATAAGACTCGTGTATGATAACTCACAAGCTAAGTGAGCTGTATCGTTTTGGGTGTTTGAGAATTGACATAGATTACTTTTGAAGAGACAAGTCTTTAAATTCATTTATATCAGTTTTTTCTACATTTTTTAAATTTTTTTTATCATATAATCGTTCTAGTTCTAAATTCAGACCCAATTCAATCAAATCTAAAACAGCTTAAATTAATAGCTTCTTAGTATTAATTATTGTTTTTGTTTATTTCAGAAGACAATAAATAAACTATGAAATATACCACACAATTAATAAAAATAATTTTAAGTGTCAAATATCTCATCTCATAAGTCATAACATAATTGGTACCGATAAAGGTCATTTTAAATTGGAAAAAAATCAAAAAATCCCTTATGGTATTGCTTTGAATCATTTACACCTGTTTTTTTTTTTTTACCACTTAATCTTCTGTAATTTTTTCTATCCATTCCCCTACTTAACATTGTTAGGCACTTAACATTGTTATGTACATCTTCATTCTGATCAAACGGTATTAGAGAGTAATAAATAGAATAACATATCTCTTTTGCCAAATATTATAATTTTAGGGTGAAAGCCCGTTTATAGATTCTGAACGTGGGACTTTGAGGTGGGCGACACCACAAGTCTTGTAGCCCAACATGGGATTCTATTTGAACTTTTAAATCTAATAGGCCGTTTGGTCTGAAACGAAATGGGCCGCCCAGTTTGAAGGTTCAAACTTCGTTGGATGAAAGGGTAAACTCGTAATAACAGGAATAATAGTCGATTATTTTAGTCTTTTCACGTAGAGTAAAACCCTAATTCAAATATTCCCATTATATAAATCAGAAGCATGCCATCGGTTCTCAAAGGATGGCGGAAGGGTGGGCTCTTTATCTCGACATCTTCGTTCCATTCCATCAACTACGAAGCCAGAGTTATGCATTTTTCTCCTTTCTTTTTTTGAGCATTTTCATTTGCCTCTTGAGATGCCTTTGATTCAAATGCCATGAATTAAGGGTAATTTTGTCATCGATGACAAACGAGGCATAGATTTTGTGCAGGCATGTTGAGTCACTTCGCCTTTGTTTTGGGCCCAGGCGCAGTGAATAATAGACTGCCAAATCACCTATTTTCAATTCTTAAAATATTTCGATTTTTGACGTAAATGTTTTTACCTCTCTTATCCCTGTTTTTGAGTTTCGATCTTGGTAAGAATTGTGGGATCCTATGATGGCATGAAATCTTTGAGACCTGATTGTCTAATTTGATGACAGCTATAAGCATAATCACTGAGGATCCTCTTCAACAAACCTTAGTTGTTCTTTTTTTAAAAAAAGATATTTGTTTTTTGTGTTGTAGTGTCTACAAGTGGGGAGAGAAAGAGAGAAACAAAATAGACTAGAATGATGAAATATGCACTGGGCTCTGAGCAGTTGAACATATGAGCTGCTTTTCTGATGCACAATGCTAGCCTAGAAAGCTATCTCTGACTGTTTCTTCTTTCTATTGAAACTGTTTGTGTTAAAAAATTAATGTCGAACAAGGAATGAGATCAATTAGGCGTTCTTAATCTCGAAATTATCTTTTTACTCATTACTGTTCTTTTTGACTTAAATAATTGCCAAATACGTGAATTTTGCTTTCAAAAAATATTATTCCGATACAAAATTTCTCTGAAGTGCGCATATTACTGTTCCCTTTTTCGAAAAATTACATAAAGACTCGCCTTTTAATATACATTAGTTTAATAACAAATTAAAATTGACCAAATACTAAATTATACAAAATTGACAACTTAAACAAAGATGAACAATCCTGCTTCCGCCGAATCATTCTAATACCTCTATTCCGATGCATTTGCAGAAGTGGATAAAAATCTTGAAAACATTCGTGTTTTTAACAAACTAGCTCGAGAGCGTTGAGTGAAGTCGGATAAATGGATCATATCATTAATTAACTAATATATTCAAATTATTCAGCAATACTAATTATTCAAGTAATGTTGACAACGGTCTCCAGTGTTCGGAGAAGTTTGGCTCAAGTGTTCGCATTTAATACAAAATTGGGATATTTTTATTTGAGTTTTTATTCATTTGTTCTATCCTTTTGGTCCAAACAGCAAACCAAGGATTTTGAGGTGTAGGACCTCGATAATAATGCAGAAGAAAGCTGCTATTAGCTGTATGAATTATGCTGTGCATGTCGAATATTGGCCAAAGGTTAGGGGAATAGGGGTGGCTCTCGGATCATCTTAGCATATGCCTTAATCCTGTGCAATATGCAATCATACAATACCTTCAAGTTTGGGAATTTGGGTATAGCTATCGTTTTAAGTCACACTGGTTAGATGTTGCCATGCAGATTGCAGTTAAGCAAGATCATTCACCATACATGTGTATAATGGGGGTACTGAATGATATTTATTAGTGGTGGAGGCAAGATTTGGCCTGTAAAGGTGGAGCATGTCTGCTAATCAACCAGCGGACTCCTTAGCTTTGACATTAGCTTTGACTGTACCCGTTGGAAATGGAGTGAAAATAGAGATGTGCAGGTCATGTTTTTCATTTATTAACAATCTTGACCGTTGATTTTATTTATACAAGTTAAATAGCCTCATCTTCCTCTCCCCACTAAATAACATGCACGAAGCATTCATCACTCTTTCTCAACTTCTCTCCACTACACATAATCACCCACTAAGCATTGTATCATGCGCATCACTAGTCACCTGCTAAACTACCAACTATGTGCACAACCTCCCAGTGCACTTAATCTATATATGACCCCCTATAGCTAATGGGAGATAATCTCATATGTGAGCTCTTCGGTATTCATAGATTCACAAGGCTTGCCACCATAACTACAACCTTCACACTTATGCTCAGGGATATCCTATCCACTAAGTAAGTGATTCACACAGCCACACACACACACCTTAATAGTGTTACCATTGAACTATTGGCTAGAGTTTCTATATTTACTCCGTAGATACAATCACTAAGTAGATCAATAATCAAGATTGATAGTAAAATATTCTTGCACCGGTGTAAAAATACCCTTCCCCACTTTAAATTTATCTTAAATGACATAAAATAAAGAAAAAACAGAAGAAAATTCATGTAAATACGTAATTTCATTTGTAATAATCTTTATGAATAATTTGACTTGACGTTTCTGTTAATCATTCATCTTTTAATTGCAATCTTCCAAGAGTCCGGATCAAGCCCACATCTACACGCATGACCTATGAAATATCCATCAATGAGCAGCAACAAAAGATGTTCAAGCATAGTTCCCTCAATGTCCCCCAAGCATTTGTTTAGTTTATCCATCCGTATCTTCAGCATTATAGTGTTTCAGTTTGCCTCAATGGCTGTCGCGAAGTCATATTCTCCCCCAATTCAGGTCTACCAATTAAATGTTACCTTCAAGCTAATGAGTTATGCATTGAATCTGCCATAATGCTACCTAAATGATCCTTTTACTGCATATATTCATCGCTCCTTTGCAAGGAAGTAAAAAGTGCACATATTACCACTCTATGAAAGTAAAAGTAAATATAAAACCTGAAGCCCCTGGCAGTACCTACCAAAATACATAATCTAATCAATCTTACTCTAGTTCTTTTCATTTGTCCTGCATTGATCGCTATGCATTCAAAATTGTCGTATATATCCGATATTCGTATGGCAGTGATAAACTCTGCATAGTGTAATAAGGTATAGTTGCTGTTTGTTCTTGGCTTCAAAATCTAGACTCAACGCACTGGAGATGAGAAGAAAATTACAACAAAGTACACAACGAATCCAGCAATAAGTATTCCTCCATAGATGTAAGTTTGGGAAGAGTGCACGGGGTACTTGTACTCAATTTTGCAGCATCTCATATTATCCTTCTCGGTGGCCAAAACATGGTCAACATATCTGCATTTCGCAAAATTGTAAATAATTACTACAACAGTACCATGGGGAAAAAAAGTAGTTTACTAGAATAGAAACCTTTCCCAGTTTGACAAAAAAATAAAAGAATCATTTTAAAATACAGGGTCACTTACTGTTGGGTGAACATGGTACTCTGCAGAATATCTGAGCTGTTCAAGAAAGCATCCTGTAACCGATGATCATATAATAATGAAGACATTTCAACAAGCTGTTCCTCGAGGCCCTGGTGAATGTATACATATTGCAAAACGTTAAATACTAAAAATGCCCAGAGTCAGGTGAAGAACTTCAATCAAGTATAGCTTACGTCCAGATATTTTTCCAAGCGATCAACTAATTCATGTGGGAAGGGTTCAGGCAAATTAGTAGTTTTCTTATAGAACTTCTCCAACCACAGTTCAGATTTTGACTTCTCCTTCTTTCCCTTCACTGGTTCACCAAGGGGGGTTTTCAGATACTCAGCTGCAAAAGCTTGAACAGTCTGCACAGAATTAACAGTGATCCAAAATCAGAGAATCAAGTTCTGGTATTTATATAACTCAAATCAAGCATGAATTACCTCTGATGTTTCACGAATTTTGCGAAGTACAGAATCTACTCGTGCATAAATGGAGTTCCTCTGTCAACGAACAAAAAGCTATTTAGAGAAATACCTCTTAGTAAATAATTCACTTTGGCATATTGAGAGGACATTTACCAAAGCAACATCACGGAGCATTTGACTGATGTGAGATGTATTAGAGAATGGTCCAAATGGATGACAACCAGCTGCCCAAAGCCAATTCACAACAGGTCTTTCATGTACATGAGAAGCCTTCTCATATGGTGCACTTAAACCACCGACAACTGAGGCAAGACCAGCCAATATATGCTGTTGCGCCTGAGATGGAAGAGCATGCCTTCTCTGAGTTTCTGAAACATAACTGTCAAACAAGACGATGAAGAGTGATGCAAATTTTTGCAAGAAAAAACTGATAAATAATGAGGAAACCCAAGGTTTGGATAAGCAGTAAAAGGGTTTGAGTCCATTAAATCAGGCCACAGACAATCAGCATGAAAAGAGACAAGTAATTGTGCTCTAAGAAATTAACTACATGGTTATTATTTAAGGAATTATATTACACTGCAACAGAAATATATCTTCACAGAGACAGACATGAACATATTTAAAAAAATAAAGTTGAAAATAATCAAAATGCATTAGCTTTTTTTTTTGTGTGTGTGTTGAGAGCTGGGAAGGTCTTAGGAATCTACGGAAGATAGAGCCGAGAGAAAGTTGGAAGAAAGGAAGAATGACTGTTATAGCAGAATCTTTACAGAAAAAAGAAGAGAGATCTCCTTCCAGGGTTTCCCATTTTACAACTGAGCCACTGTTCTGTTTCCAGTACTAACCAATCTGGATCCCTCCTTTCTAACTTCCCTCCAACTTACACTATGCCCCTGCTCCTAACAACTTCCAACTGTCTAACTATCTAGCTTATTCTATAACTATCCTAACTGAATTATCTAACCAATTCTGTAACTATGCTAACTGAATTATCTAAGTAATTCTGAAGCCATCCCTTCTGAGTCCTATGAGAAGGCATTTATCACTGTCACTATATTTAAATTGAGATGTGAAAACTCAACGAACAAAAAGGATAAGAGGTTTGCCAACATGCGGTGGCATAGGTGGCTAAGGAGTCGGCCCATACCCCAAAAGGGCGTGGGTTCGATTCCCTCTGGCCGCTTTGAGGCTCATGTTGGTGGGTAAACTGTAGAGCGGGCTTTCTTTCCGTTGTCCCTGGCGTAAATCCTCATTGAGGTTGAATAGGTCTGCCCTGGCCCTGGTGGGTTACATACCGGTGTCTCCCCTGCCAGAACTATTTTGTACTAAAAAAAAAGGATAAGAGGTTTTACATAGAAAGACTATAATAAGTACATATCTTCACGTCAAAATGACTATAATTAGCAATTACTCATAATAAACAAAGTTCAACCCTTTATTCCTTTCTATCATCTACACGTCAAAATGTCTATAATAATAAGTACATATCTTCAACTTCAAGTACTGGATATTCAAATATCATATTCATTCACCTTAAAGAAATCTTTTCAGTTTTATGCTCAAGTACGATTACAACATCATTGCTTGTCCACACCATACTTTCATCCTCCATCATAAGGTTTGGATCCACATCTGCCAATGATAGCACGAAGCTGCACAATAAAAAGTATTGCAGTTAGATGTTTAAATATTGAATTGGTTTTGGAACAAAATAATATCATCAACATCAATCAGTTTTTCTTCTTCTTGCAGCAATATAATGTATTTCTTTAAACCAAAAAAAAAAAAAACACCAAAAATGAATCTATG